GGTCATCAAGGACGGGGAGAGTAAGTTATTCGGAAAGATCGTTCAGACTCAGATCCACAGTGAGGACACTGGGGCCACGGGGAGTTTGAGTGGGGATGGAAAGGCAAGTCAAACTCTGAGGGGATTGGAAAGGGTTGAGTGAAGGCTGGAAAGGAGGTGGCCAGAGAGTCCAGGTTGAAGCCATGGGAGAGATAAGGGAGGGGGTGAGAGAGATTAGGGGTGGGTGGGAGAGACCCTCAGGAGGCCAAGGAGACACATGGGGGGTCTAGGATGAAGCCGGGGGCTCCCTCGGAGTCAGGGAGGGATTTCTGGAGGAGCTGGCACACAGGGTGAGACCTGAAGGATGGGTAGGACGGCTGTCCTTGAAATGGGGGCCCAGAGGAGGAGCAGATTTGGGAGAGATGCTAAGGAGAGTTGGGGACATAGCGGTGTAAGGGGGTTGGGGACACCTTGAGGGAGGTATCTAGAAGGCCATGAGACTTCCAGACTGGAGTTCAGGGAGGAGGTGAGAGTTGGAGGTGGCTTTGGTGTCAGAGGGGAACCTGGATCTGCAATGGTGGGGTCCCTAGAGGGCATGGCACTTTGTCCTGAAGGCAGTGGGAACCCACAGAGGGGTTTTGAACAGGGAGGGGACAGCTTAGACTTTGAATTCCAAATCAGAAGTATTCACCATTCATGATGGGTTTTATTGGTTTTATTTTGACCTATTTAATTGTTTTTCAGGCGAGGCACCTTCTAGGGAGGAGTCTTTTGAAATAAAGATTCTACTGCTAAAAACAAAAACAAAAAAGTTTACAAAACCAATGCTCTGTTTTGTTTTCTGTAGACTTAACCACAGACAGTTGATTGTTCAGTCCAAAGAGGCCTGCATGATCAAGGGAAAATTGGCTCCTTTAAACACGAGAACATTTCAGTTTGAGCCACATGGGAGGTCCATGGGTTTGTGGGTGTTTCCTGGCGTGTGGCCTGTCCGGTGCTTCACGTGTGCTTCAGCAGCTAAGCGGCCCCCACCCTCCTTTGCACTCAGATGGCTTGAATCAACCTTGAATTTTACTCTCACGTTGAAAAGCCATGACCTGCTCCTGCTCCACCTGTTCTGGGCTTAGAACACAAGCTGATTATCACTGTATATAAAACAAGTGTCACAAGGACTAGAGAGACAGCTAAGAA